TGATTTTTGAGTTTGAGTTGGATTGTGTCTCCGCCCTGGGCAGAATTTCCAGAAAATCAGCAGGTTTTGCGAAATCGAGCACCAGATTTGAAGAATTCTAGCACCAGATTTGACGAAATCGAGCACCAGATTTGGCGAAATCGAGCACCGGATTTGACGAATTCTAGCACCAGATTTGACGAAATCGAGAATCAGAGCCACCAGCCCAGGGACCAGCCCACATTTCAAAATGAAAGCAGAGCCACCAGCCCAGGCCAGCCAGGGACCAGCCCCACATTTCCAAATGAAAGCAGGGCCACCAGCCCAAACCAGCCAGGGACCCACCCCACATTTCAAATGAAAGCAGAGCCACTAGCCCAGGCCAGCCGGGACCAGCCCCACATTTCAAAATGAAAGCAGGAGAGTCTTTGCAGTGCATGGGAGATTTGATTGGACCCAGACCTTTTTTTTCAATTTTCCTGGTGCTGCTTTTGTGCTCATCGATTGTGCTCACTGTTAGTGGGACTCAGCCACTTCGAAAGTATATAGCCCTTCTCAGTCTTTGGGCCAGATGAGCACTTCCTTTTCCAGGTGGGGAATAATGTCCCTACTCTGAAACCAAATCATCAGACTGATCAGAGGAACAAGAAATTCATAAGGAAAGCTTCAGATCCAACTGATGGTTATATCTCGAAACGTGAAATCCATCTTTTAAATGATCTGGCTAAAGCTTGAAGTCCATCTGACAAGACCTTCCAGACTGCTCAGATCATCAGACCGACACCAAAATGCAGAGGCCTTAACTGCCACCGTCGCCTCCATTGTGGCGCTGCGGAAGGATTTCGATCGACGAGCGCAGGAGCGGTGGATTGCAGGTGTGTGGCAGTGTGGAAGTTCGGCCCAGTCAGGACACCCTATTTCAGAGGTGCCAATTGAATTGGTGACGAGCCCGGTTGTTGTTCACCAACCCTTAGGGTTCAAAGGACTTGGAGGTCCAGGTATTTGGGTGTGTCATGCTGTGTCACCCCCCTAAATCCCTCGGGAAAGGCCAGACAACACCTGGCGTTTTTGGTCCAAACATGCGAAGACCACTTTAGTAAAGAGGAGCAGGTTTGTGCGCAAAACCCTGCAAAACGATAAGGTCCACTTCAAAACCGATAACCCCAGCACTGTATATGGAGAAATCAAAACACTGTAAAACGATAAGGTCAATTCCAAAACCGATGACGTCCATGTTTAAGTTGAATAATACTAATAATAATAAGGAGTGTTGACCGTCCCTCACCTGGAAAATGATCGCTGGTGCCGAGGAATAGATGTTCCATCGCTTGTGCAGTATCCGATTCCTTGTGCCAGGAGGCCAATGGAATGATCCCACCCTTCCTGAGCGAAGCTTTATCCATCGCCAGTGTCTTCGGCTGGTCTTTGCCTGAAAGGTCTAGATGAGGCGGTGTGCGAATGAGGTTCCAAAGGCTTAAGAACGCCTAAGAACAAAGGTCATAGATTCACTTAGTTCATACAGTCTACCGATTGATCAGGTGACTCACCGACCTTCACCAAGGTGATCTGGAGACCACTCTATCCAGACGCTTGCAGGATGCTCAGGAGACCTGGCGCGAAACCGATCTATCCGGTCGACGTTTGATCATGCCTGTCCGGATTTGTCAAGAAACCTTTGGCACACCGGCACCGGAGCGTATTGATTGAATTTATTCTATATATTGTTACGTTATATTTTCTACCACTTGAGTGGATTCGGATTTCGGATACTCTAGAACTTTGCGCACCTGACAGATCTTCCATCCCACCAGCCTAGAGGCCTAGAGTGACTTGCGGCCGTGGTGCAGAATTTTTGAAGGGTGTCCCAGCAAGCTAGCTGCTAGCTTCGTGATCAGGAATGGCTGTTTATGCAAATCATGTCCATACTGTCTTACTATGTCTTCAAGTCTTCCTGTCCATATGTCTTTTCTGTGGAGACGCGGTCTTCTAGATCTGCACCTGCTGTCATGGTTGGCGGACGTTGGCGGGATAACTGGCCTAGGAGATGGATGGCTGCCAGTTGCGGCTGATTGGAATGAAAGATCGTGTGGCCTATTGTTGTGGCTCGGACAAAATCAACTTGGTGCAACATTTGGAGTTTGTTACGGGCGGGGTTGTCGTGGCAGATGCCAGTGATTTGGGCGTCGTGTGTACGTTGCTGAAGTAGATGGCATAGAGCTCGCCGCGGTGGATGGAGGAGGAGTGCTGCACAGACTGGAGGCACCGATGGGTGTTGCATGGTTTTGCACTCTTGGGCACCCCAAACATCCCAAAACCCAGGTGAGCCAGGGGAACCAGGAAGTCGGAAGCACCAGCGAACTCGGCTGACCGTTCGCGAAGCTGTCAGGCTTGGACGTCGAGAGGCTCAGGGGCCGGTACCTCGAGGAGTTGTTCAATGGATTGCATTCATCCATCTATGGTGAGGATGTGGCATTCCTAGTGCAGGATTCGGGCTCTTTGCAGAATCTGGTCGGCAGATGTGGCAGATTTCTTTGGGTTTCTTTTGGGCGTAGTGGTGGAAGAGTCACCTTAAAGAGATGGATGTGTCGTGACTGTGTCGTGTCAAAAGTTGCAACGTCAAGGCTTCTCACAGGTCTCAGTAGCTTTCACAGGTCTCAGTCTAAAAGATATCCAGTGAATTCAGATGAATTGGTATCACGCCCGCCTTGGCATGGTTTCGGTCACGTTCGGGCTCCAGGCCACTCCAAAATCATAAAGCCTTAGAAGTTGGGGGTGACTTATTGCCTGTAACAAGTCGGTAAACAATTATAATCCATATATATAATATAATATATATATATATCACTATTTTAGAGAAAGGCCTTGAACCTAACCCTGATCATCCACTGTTACAGGGAATAGGATATAACTTACAGGATTCGTATTCAGTTTCAGATCCTGTCAAACAGGCCCCAACTGGAAGGAAGGTCACCAGGCTCCAAGACCGTCGGCGCCGTCCGTTCACAAACCGGCCCACCAGATCCTGTGCAGGTGTTGTCTATGCCACTCGCACCAACCACCCCAAACCATGGCGTGAGCATGCGTGAGCCACATTCGACGGTAGAACAGCTACCAAACAGGAAAACATCTCACGCTCCCCCCAGCTGCCTTTACACACGCCCTTTGCGCCATAAGTGGTGGTCGAATTTGTCACCAGAAAACCACAGGTTGCACAAAAAAGAAGTGAGTCAGTCGGTGGGCAGGGCCGCAGGGCGTCAGGGCGTCAGCAGATCTCTGCAGCGTCAGTCGCATTCCTGAGATTTTCTGAGGAACATCAAGAACATCATCAGCAGCACGATGAAACTGTCTGACCAGTTCTGGCGCGAGGCGGTGCAGTTCGCAGCCGAATCCCTCGATGGGCCCATGGCCTCGGGGTGTCAGGAGGTCAGCATGGCGGCCAAGCGCTATAAGGAGACCTGGGATGTGAGAGGCATCATGACCGCATGACAACTGATAGTGGTTCATATCAAATCAAAAATATCATAGTTCATGTTATATGTGTTCAGATTTTAGAGATCCACTGTCACCTCCTTCAGATTCCCTAGGCTTGGGGCGTGACGTAATCATTGGCAATTATTGGTGTGTTTGGATGGTCCAACTTCCTTCTTAGCAGGGGCTTTTGACAGTGGATTAATTTCTTTGGGGCTGGGGTGGTGTATACCTTTTTGGGGGACGCCCTTCATCCTTGGACATCACGGCTTTTGCTTGGTGTGTTGGTGCATGTGTGTGTGTAACCCTTGCAATGGATCCGATTGGATTGTAAATAACAGGGGGCACAGGCCCATCGTGGATACCTGTGCCAACGAAGCTATTCCACAGCAAAAGCGGAGATTGATCACCTCCGTGTACCTGCTGAAGTGTGTGGCGTTTGGTAACTATGCTCTCCTCTAGAAGTCAGGCTGTTTAGGGGATGACAGGTCTGCAGACAAGTGCTCGCCGTTCGATCCTTCGTCGAGCTTTGGAGACCTTGCTTTTCGAGATTTCAGAACTTTGTGCTTTGACGAATTGAGACGCCATACCTTTATTCACCCTGGCTTCTTAGGTTCGGCTGGCGTGTGGCAAACCGCAACCAAATCAGCACGCATAATCTCAAGTGTGTGTTTGGCACCCCCGATTGGAACCTACAGAAGTTGTGATTTGATTTAATGGCTCCAGAAGACCCAGGAGCTAAGGATGGAGCTGAAGAAGATCCAAGAGAGGTTGGAACATGGAACTCATGGGATGGCATTTACTTCCCTTCGTTGGAGTAGGAGGGGATGTGGCGGTTTGGGTACCTTCTTGCAATTGGACGTTAAACAAGCACGCCATTATTTTGCCTCCCCAAGTTTTTGTCCTGAACTAAGTATTGACGATTGACATGACACCTATAGGAATTCCATAGCTGGATTTCCAGAATGTTTGTCAAGTCTTGATCATCCCTCGGGGGGGGTTTTAGGCATCGTCAACCTGGCATAAAACTGGAATCGAGAAGCGATGGAACTGCAGCCAGGACACTAAAGGTGTGATGCCAAGCATCGATCTAAGTTTGCATCGTTGTGTTTTTTCTTCAATCGGATGGAGCTGCTTTGCTCAGGCTGCTGCAGGTCGAGAAGACTGCGCCGGTGATCCCGGCGGGGCGAACGCGGAAGATCTTGAAGAAGGGCAGCTCTTTAGGAAGCCAAATCGTCGCTGGGACGAGTCCGACAGCGTCGCAGGGATTCGCAGGGCACCTTTTTTGGAGGGGTTCCAATGGCAGGTCGCAGCTTACGGTAGGGGAACCGACACTGAGTGGTCACCTCAACATATTGAGGCGGAAGTGAAGACCACCAAAACATATGTTTTGTTCGACTTAAGTCTTAAGTCCTTAAGTGTTGTTTTTATTGGGGCCCGCCTTCATACCTCACTTGACTCTTGGTGTTAAAGACTCGCGTGGCGAGAGGTGCAAAACGATGTGGGCATGTCACCCTGTCACCTGCAGTGATTTGAGTCAAAGATCAAACCTTCTTCCGAGTTTTAAGGTGTTGCCCGCAGAGTGCTCGATGTATTCGATGCAGATGTTGGGACTATAGTGTGGATGCAGGTGTGGCTAATGCCTCCGGCAATTGGGGAGACAATCCACTAGAAAGAGAACGTCAAAACCCAACGTCGAAAACCTGGTTTTGTGCCACAAAAGCTCTCAAAATCACTTTCCATAATTCCAGCATTTTCCCTGTGACTTTCTGCCATCCTCGCTTGCCCAGGCCATTGAGACCAAGGGCTACCTCCGCACTGAGTCGCAAGTCTCGGCGGTGGAAGAGCCGCGGCCGCCGCTCGCGCCAGCGCCTGAAGCCTTTGAGGTGGACTTCGAATCCTCCGCAGCGGCGGCGGCCTTCAGTGTTCAGGAGACCGGAGGGGAGACGGTTGATGAGGGCACGGCAGAGAAAAAGTAGAAAGTGGGGGAAACTCCCAACTGGTTGGGGAGCAGTTGGGTCATTGGATCACCTGGAATAGGAAAAGCACCTGTACAACATACGAACGTATGTGTCTGATTGTGTGTGCGTTTGAGCTCAAGGAGATTGGAATAGTCCAATCTCCTGAAAAGATACTGTATAAAAATATGATAAAATATGTATATATTCCAAATTTAATTCCGTTTGGAACAACAGAAAAGGTTCCGGTCCAAAATCCCGCTGAGGCCGTGCCCTCCGACGAGCCGCCGCAATCCCCCCCGCCGCCGCAGCCCGCGCAGCCTGCGCCGATGCCGGCGGCACCGAAGGCAGTGGCGCCAGTGGAGCCACCGGTGGAGCTGGAGCAGATGGAGAGGAAGGTGGATGAAGTGAGCACTGAAAAGAAGGTGGGAATTGTTGGAGTACTTTGGAAATCTTGGGGTTGAGTTGAGAGCCCTTTGTTAGACCGTTAGACCCGGAGAATCTGGATGAATTAAAATCATCAGATCGTCTAGCCAGCTACTTGATTAGAACATATTGGAACTAGTTTTCTGCAAAACTACTTGTTCCTCTCCCCCTTATTTTTTCTCTCTCCCTGTGTTTTTCCTCTCGACATTGTTCGCACACAGATGATAGATGGGGGAGGCATCCCTACCCTTCCCACTCGCTTTCCCTGTAGGAATCATCCCAATCCTATCTATCTCATCCTCCAATCACCCACCTCCTACACGGGGAGCTTTCCTGCAGGTGGCGCCCCTCGATGGCGTGCCGAAGTCAGCGCCACCCGGCTGTGGGCAGATGCTGGGACGCCTCTCAGCGCGCTGCTGTGGGGCCAGCTGACGGCGGCAAATCCTAGCCGGGTGTTTAGAGAGAGCCAGGGCGGTGCAGACGACAGAGCCAGGGCGGTGTCCTACAGAGGTTGAACAAATAGACACCCCTAGCCTGGCCAATTCTATGCTTGTTCCCCCTAGGATTCAATGAGTTATATAAGTCGAGAGCGTCTTTGAACCTGTCTTTGTGTTGTTGTGGTCAGAAGTGAGGTCAGAGTGAAGATTCTTCTCTGGACAACAGATATGTTTCAAGATTTGATGTGGTAGAGCGACAATCTCTTCTATAACCTGGCTCAGAATCCATGCATTCATTCCGCTTGCACAAATTTGCCCCTAACCCTCGACCTGGAACATTGATGATTATTGGTGGGAAATGATGGACCTGGTCAAGGAAGCTGCCGTCGACTCCGACAGCTTTGTGATACCAAAAGAGTTTGGCCTTTTGAGACATGAAGCCTTCCGATGTTCCATGGAAGTTTTAGATGCTGTAGGCACCAACCAGGATGGTGTTTTGTTGCTCTTATAACTTATGATCCTACCTTTGGCTTCTTGCTTGTGGTGTGTGCACGCTTGAAAATGCATCAATCTGTGTGTATGTACCCATTTTTCCCAGCAGCACACCCTAAAAAACTATTATATTGTGGAATGACGGAGATTGTGCTTTGGGCTTGTTCTTGTAGCACGGCACAACACTTCTTGTTATAGGTATTACTGCGCGAAGGGATAGCGGGGTTTGTATCTTCATTGTGTATCCCCGTCTTTGATTGACTCGATGCTCCTAGATAGACTTTACTTGGTGCACAATCCCACCCTCCGAATCCAGAGATGGAGGAACATAGTACTTGCATGATTTGTTTGCCTGACATGGTTGCATTTGGGGACCTGGCCTTGTTAACTATTGTTCACTTGTGACGGTGCAACCACGCTGATTCAACAGTTCAGCCTGTTCAAGTTGAAATCGCCATGTCTCGTTTTCTCACCGGTGTATAGACCCTCTCGCGGTTCCGCCTTGCGGGACTCCGAGCGTACTGTGCCGCCCTGGAAGACAATGTGAAGACAATGCACAATGCAGTCATTAGCATGCTGGTCACCAGCACACTGAACTGATCAAGGCGACTCTGCAAAGGTGGAAAAGGGTCCAATGGAACATGCCCAATCTATCCAGCTACCATCAGCTACCACTGAAGTCTGCAAACACTGATGTGTTTCCAAAGGAAAATAAACTGAAGCTGGGAATCCTTGTTATTAGTGCAGTGGAGGCTAGGATTCATTGGTAGGGGGTGTGAATGAGCAAATGCTGTTGGTAGACGATAGGGAAATTGGACCACTCACGTGTTTGCTTGCCTTTTTTTGTACGTACTGAAGCGTCTACATAATCTCCATAATATGAATGTTATCAGAACACATTTATATTTTGCACGTTCAATGTGGTTTGCCTGACTGGGACTGGCAGGGAGCGAGGAGACTTGGGGTTTGGCCCAGGGGTGAGCCGTACATGCGAAACATTGCGAAGCGCCATTCTATCACATCGGGATGTTTGTGAGGTCCTCAGGCATTGCCATTATACCCATGTGGGGATGGGTCAATACCTGGAGCCTGGTCCACCCTATGGTGAAGGGCCCATGGGAAGCGCAGGATCATTGGAGGGCAAGTCTCGTCGGTAGGTCAACCAAGGGATTCTGGGTTTGACCCACAACCATGTATCGTGAGCCACTGTTTCAAGATGCCCCCATTGTTTTTTGTGGCTAGAAACCTTGCCTCACCTTTGTCATTCTTCTTAATTGCAGGTAGTTTTTTGGTCATGAGTCATGACTGCATATTATCTCAGATATGATGTTTGGACCAGTAGTGGATGAACCCAAAATTGTGACAGCGATTGAACGACATGGAAAATCATACTGTATTTCATCACTACTACTGACCTGCCTGCCTTAGGTCGCGTGGGGGCACCATGTTTCTTGACATGTCACATGACTACTTACCTGGCCAGTTGGTTCCTCTCACCGGAGCAATTCACCTCCTTCAACTACTTCTGACACTGGGACTTGCTGGAATGGGTTTGAACAAGCCAGGGTGCACGTGTTCCACATCCACAAAGATCCCACGTTTTTCACATGACATAGGACTTACCTACTCTATTCCTTATGTCCTTTGACGCCATAACTTCCATGTGATTTGCACCCAGCATATATATATATATAGCATGCAACCCACCCATGTTCTCGCTGCCAATGTCCTCTCTCGGCAAGCGAGCCAATCGACTTTCTCAAGTGGCCATGTCCTTTACAACTGGTTCTAGCCCATGCCCTGCTGATGTGGTATTGTCCAATATGACATACTGTAATATGACACAAAAAAACCATTTGATAGACTACATTTTCTGAACGGGCCTTGTCCATCATTTCGTTTCGCCGGCCCGGGACCAAGCATCGCTAGGCGGATCACTGCGGCATCTCGGACCGCCACACACCAGTGGGGTGGGCGTGAGTGGCGGAGCATTTTGGCACCCAAACGGACATGGAAAACCACCTGGCTACTAATAGCGTCCTTGCTCCTAGTAGCGATGCCAGGAGCCCCTAGTAGCTTCTTGCTCCTAGTAAGGCCAGGAGCCCTGAATAGCTTCTGTTCCTAATAACAATGTTTGTAGAGGAAAGTCGCCAATCCTCGATATCCTCGTGGCCACTGGTAGCTGACGCCATAGATGACCGGGAGTTGATATATCAGATTTGTCTAGCCAATGTCCGCGCCTGTCCTTTGACTAGCTTAAAGATGTGTTTCTTTTCTTGGGAACCTATGACCTCCTATGACCTATGACGTCCAATCTCAGACTGTGGCTCCATGGTGGCCCAGGGTCGAGACGTGGTTCAGCTGGCGTCTTGGCCGCAGACCGGGGACGTGGCGCCGAACCAAACGGAGACCGCCCGCGGGACCTTCGAATCCGCGGACGTTCGTCTTGTGGGTGAGACCCCTGGCATGGCATGGCCAGGGTTCGACTACTTGGCTGACTTTACAAACAACATGTCTTGGATTCTTTTGGTGTCCTAGGCAGCCATGTTTGGTGTTTGGTGTCCGGCCAAAATCGGGGGAAAATCCATCGAGGAGGTTTCTCTCCCCCTTTCCGAAGAAGATTCCAAGGCCGCTTGGGATTTGTGCGAATCGTTCTGATATAGGTATGTGGATGTCTAAGTGAGGTTTCTTGAAAACTTGGATGAACATTGCAAAGCCGTTGAATTATATAATATGTATATATATATATATACATATATTAGCGTATATTTGCAGAAACGTTCTTTGGGATGTGTCCTCCCAACTTCACAAGAACTACCAAGCTCGCGGATGTGCAGAGTAGAAGGCCCCCAAATACTAGGTTTTGGTAATTTGGTGAGGTTAGAGCTTCCAACTTCACAAATGCGGCCTGTGCCAATGTTCTCAGCTCAGTGAAGCTCTTTTTGCACCTCGGATTCCCATCAGCCGCGCCGCTCGGTCCCCATCGCCTACCCCAGATCGCCGCCGCAGCTCGCTCAGCTTGCCCCAGATCACGTGCGCCTCTCAGCCCATCGGCCCATCCACCCTGTTTTTGAGCCATGGCTTCGGAGACCACGTCGACCACATCCAGCCCGGTGGAGGTGGAGGAGGAGAACGAAAGAACGGAGGTGGCGGAATGATACGTGGGGACTAAACATGTATACAATTAGGCTTGCCGTCTTTTCCAAACCTCCTCACCAGGTTGAGGATCACCCTCACTCGGAGTTGAATGAAACGAGTCCAAGAGCCAAGAGAAGTGAGGCAGGAGGCTGATGTGGGAGGATCATTCAGAGACGGGAACTTTCTTTGAAGATTCTTAAAGGACTCGGGAGGACTGAACACTTCTTTAGATCAGAACCTTCTGATGACAGGCCTCACATGGTGTTCACCATCCTTCACTTGACAAGTAAGAGCATCTCTCTTCACATTTTGCGGACCAGCTAAAACAAAAGTTGCTTTTAAACTGTCTGACTCATCTGACGAAACCAACTTGATGAAACCAACATGCCCCCCGGAGGCATGTACTTTTCGTACCCTCAGAAACGTACCAACCTAGGGCTCCAACCCTCAGAACTCCTTGCAACTCCAAAAACCTGGAGGACCTGCACGAGATGGTTGATCCAGGCCTCTCACGAGGAATTGTGGTCTATGACATGGTGGAAGAGTCACTTGGGATTTTTTGATCGGTTGGACCAACCGAGTCCTTCGAAATCACGGCTGAACCTCGTTCTAAAGCCGGACCTGGGATGGGGCTGCGGACCTGGGAAAGCCTGGAAGTCTCTCTACTAATGATGTAGGACTTTGTAGGTTCTCTCGTGGGCTGCGGACCTCGGAAATAATTGCAGGTCATCCTATGACCTTATAGAGAACCTATATGTTGTTGCCTGGAATCATATTGTTTTTGGTGTTGGTGGTTGGTTTGGGTTGTTTGGAGATGGAATGAACTGGACAAACCACACGGTATGGAATGGTTCATGTCAGGGAGTCATTATTTCCGAAGGTCACCGCAGGCAGAGTCGTGGCCACAAAGTCCGTGAAACGCGGGCCTATGATCATCGTATATGATCATCGTGGTTTCTTTAGATTCCCACACTGTGCGGCGAGGTGCTTCTTTACTAAAGGAAAAGCCTATATTCATATAAACACGTTTTTTTCTCCCCCACACACAATCGACACAATCTCTGAAAGCATGTCAAGAAAAATATAATCAAGGGAATTTGATGGATTGAGTGATGAATTGATGAGAAAGCGATTGTGTTTGATGGGAGCATTATACTTTTGCTTGAGCTTTTAAGGTGCCCTCCAGGAAAAAATAGGTTCCTGGCAGGTCCTCTCTGCCGATAGGACATGTAAATTTTAGATCCGGACCAAGTTTGGTTTTGGTGGGAGTGTTTTATGATTGGTTAGGATGTGGTGGGAAAGACAAGCTGGAATACTGTGCAAAAAAATCAAAAAGTGGGACAGTGCACCTGAGAAATCAATTGGAGAAAGGTGCAGTGGCATAGGACGATGGCTGACACTTTACACTGAGTAAAGAACGTTCATTTTAGTTCAAGTCATTTGACCTGTAAATAATTCGCTTTACTGGACTATTTTAGGTTTTGGCTCTTTTGGTGGCTTTTGCAGTCGTTTGCAAGTCATTTGTTTGTGCAACGTTGCCCTATCAAGAGGGTGTGGCAGTGGTTTTTCTTGGATGATCGGGGTGGTGTTGGCGCACCTTGAAAACGTGAGCTGTTCTCCGAGGCAAGTGAAGGCCGATGAAGAGGAGCTGTTTGACAGGTTCCTTGTTGTCGTTGAAATCGGATGGACCCAGCGGGATGGAGGATGGGCACTGTCAAGCCGAAGCCCAGGAAAAGCTGCCCTTGAAAAGTAGAGCAGGTAATGTCAAGCTAGGATTGGAATGTCAAGCTAGTATCTCCTTTTGCAACGGGCAACTTTAATGACCGGTGATGCCCATTGCATGAATAGCGACAGTACTTGAAGTTTGATACTGATCTCAAGCGGTTTTAGCTGTCGACTGATCTTATCACCGCCTACATTGTTTGATCGGCCGATCAGAGTATTGGTTGGATGGACTGCGGTGATTTCTGTAGACTGCACATGGTTGTATTACTCCCTTTGCCCACCCATTTGGGACAGATAGCACCTCCTCGGACTCGTCGTTTAAGCCGTCTCTCCAAGGATGGAGCCCTCGAAGGCGAAGTATTTCACGCCTGAGGCACATGTTTCCGTCAGTAGAGTCATAGGTAATAGTAGTCCAACCCCATGGATGGTTGAATATAAACGGTTCAAAGATGTTCAATCCGGCTGTTTTCTTCGCCTAGTAGAGTCTGGATGTCTTCAAATCTGGGGGCCTTGGGGTAGGTCGCGGGGACAATCGGATTTGTCTCCGTTTGGAGTCTTTTTTGGAAGCAACATTGGACAACAGACCAACCCCTCCATACCCCGCTTCGTCAAAAAGGGGAAGTGAGGGTGCGAGATCATTTGCGAGTCTGAGTGGTAGTGATAGTGGCATTGCATCAGGTATAGGTGCACACATCATATGACTCAGATAGCAACTTTAGGAGAGCAAAGGAGCCTCCTGGATATGAAAGATTATGAAAGTATGTTCATGTTTTGTTCCTTTCTTCGGTGCCTGTCTCACCAACGCGAACAAACCCGTGTGCATCCTCTCGACACTGCTCTCTCGTTGGGCAGGTGAAGGCGCTGTTCATCTCTGCATCGCTCTACACCCTCATCACCAGTGCACAGGTCTATGCAGCTCACGTGTCGCACTCTCAGGCGGCGACACGTGTCGCACGCGTTGCGTGTACTCGGATGAAAGAGTACTAAGTACAGTATATCGAATTCGAAAGAAACCAACTGAGGAAAAAGCGCTTTCGGAGGCAAATAAGGGCTGTAGTTGGGGCCATAGGAGTACGCCGAGTACGGTGAAAGATCCTTAAAAGGGCGAAAGGCCCAAGAGGATCACCAGTTTAGCACGTTAGAATTTGGGACACCCACGGCCGGTGGCAACGGCCGCAAGTTCCAGTTTGCCAGGAAGAAGATATGATGGGATTGTCTCGGTGTTTGTCAAATCAGTTATGGCTTTGAACGAAGTGCTTAAGTGCTTTGTTTTGCAAAATTCAGTAGCCCTGTTTGCCCCCAAAGATAGTCTTGGAAGATGGATATTGTATGGTGATATTGTATCCCGTTACACAGCTACTGCAGCTACCTGTCGGTCTCTTTGGTAGTCGGATGGGGGTGTGCCTGAGTGTGCCCAGAGCTTGTTCTTCGTTTCTCAGGGTTTTCAGCTTATTGTATCTTGCTGCAGGCTTTGCTCATGGACTGTATCTCCAGCTTCGTCGATGCCTTCACCTTCATGGGACTCCAGTTTGCACTCAGAAAAAAAATCAACCGCAACCAGGAACGTGGATCACCATCATCATGTTTGGATACTTTTTGACCATTTGGGGCTCCATTTCCTGGCCTCCAGTCCTGATTTTGTTTCAGTAAAATGCATGCATAAACGCAACAGCCATGAGCCCCTGAAAAACAGGGAGCCAACATATGATGATGGCCAAAAGAACAGGCGCAGGACACACAGATGAAAAGCATGATGAATCTGGGGCGAGGAGTTTGGGACCCGCAGAGTCCGGTGTTTCCTATAAAGAACTGCCACTTGTACAATCATGTTATGAGCAACCGTGGCTTCCTCGGCGAATGGTTGCACTAAGCAAACTGTGCTTCCAGCACTGATTGTTCAGAGCTTGACAAGTGGCATGAGAAGCAATGATTCAGTATATAACTACATCACGGTGCACCACCAATTCACACATGGGGGCACAGCCTTTTCGTTCAGAGGTCTTATTCAGACTTGTGCACGCTGTCTTTCAATATATATATATATGTATATACATATGGGCCACGGTTTAAACCTCAGTTGTCATGTAAGTAAGGAGATCCTTGTAAGGACCTGTGGCGTAAGCAAAACACTGGTGGGCGTAAGCCCGCGTAAGCAATTTTAGCCAATGTTGTTGGCGTAAGAGATTTTTCGTGATTTGTGAAATGGCAGTTTTGGACAAAGAACCTTTTATATTCCAAGCTTACAGCTTAACATACATCCATGAGATCGCTGTCAGGTTGCTGGATATATGTTTGTTTCCTCAAGTGGCGGCAAGCTCCATACTGCAGGTTGAATGTGATTCTGATGATTCTGCAAAGATTGAATTGCATGGAAAAACGAAATCATGATAAAGCCCGCAATGAAAAGGATTGTCCACCAAGACAAGGAGTTAATTTAACAACTGCACTGTGATTACTATCGGATGGAAACAGCAACACTGTAATGTGCCCATAGTGTCATACCTTTTTCAAGACCTTCACCTCCAAATTTTGTTTCCGGGTTGGAAACCAAAATCCGCGTAAGGTCCGCGTAAGCGGCGCGTAAGCCAAAGCTGCTTTTGCCAGTAGTTGCCCATGTCTCCCAAACACAAATCATTTTCACAACTTGGTGCAGAGCGCCAGCGACTTGTCGCAAAGACCGTCTCGGACATTTTGGAACAACATTGCCCTTCTCTGGATGAAGCACACCTCTTGCTGACGGCTTTCTCTAGATGTCAATCTGTCCTTCCTGGCCTGTCCGCTATCAGTGGTGCCCAGTCTGTCTGTCATGCCCGCGCGCTCAGCAGAGGTGCTGCCAAGAAGCGTCGTCACTGCTTGATGCTGCCTAGAAACGCTGCGGTTCCTGCAGGCAAAAGTTGCTGCGCGTAAGCTGGGGCTGTGGCCGGGTACTAGAAATGTCCAGCGTAAGGTCTGCGTAAGCCGGTTTATTCCGCGTAAGCAAAACTGTGCGTGCATAAGCAAAACGTAAGACGCGGCGTAAGCGTTGCCTTGTTTGGTGCCGGGATATAAGACGTTTAAAACACAGCTCATATTGCAAATATTTGTGGTTGCTTCAAAAAAATAAATTTAAAGGGCATAGGCATAGTGCATTGCGCAATGTAAACTGTCTAGTCCATCGAACAGCTTAATGCTATTGTCAATTTCCTCCATGCCAAAATGGCAATCCCTACAAATCCGTTGCCTGCTGTGAAGAGGTGGGAGTGATATGAGATAGGTGGGTTTGGAATGGTTTGGATGGAGGTGAAGGGTGACGGCCCCGTGGTCTGTTCACGTGTTGAAAAGTGACTTGTGTCTAAAACACGTCTGTCAATGTGTTTAACTATAAATGTTTTTGTGTTTTACAGGAGTTGTTTTGCCTAGGGGATGCACACAAATTGTTATAATTGTTCAAAGACCTCCGCGCCAGCTGTTTTTTTCGGGGCGTTCGTTTGAGTTCATAGTGGAATTATGATGAATTATGTAGTTTGCTTTTCAAATCATTCTGACCGAAGCACTTAGCACTTGTTCATCACGGCAGAAGCTTCCTAGTACGGCTCCGTCTTTTTTGCGCAAGTCCCTTGCATTGTATCTCCATCGGAGCCCAAGCTCTTACTGGTCCAGACGTGGATTCACTTTTTTCTCAGTACTCTTCTTTGCTGCACTTGACCCCAACTTTTTCAGTTCAGACCACAAGGGATCCAGCGGATCGTTGTCCCCACCAAACTGCTTTGAGCTTCGGATCGTTGCGGACAAGCTCCATCGCACAAGTAACATTGCTCAGCTATCCGAGTCCACTCGTGACTCCTTCGGACCTTTCACAAGAAACAACATTCAAATGATCCATCGAAGATCACCGGGTTGTTTTCATCATTATCCCCACCCCATGCCCCACCCCACCCAGATGTTATCATCTTAAAATTATGCAGTGAAACTCATCATACTGTCATACAACGTCCAAACTTATCCATTGAAGAGTGCGGTGTTGATGACCACCGCCCCACCCGCGCCACCCCACCCGGTGGCCCCATGGTTATCACCTTCACAGAATGTACTGAAGTTCATCCTCTTGTGCGCATTTTTGCAGCATCTTCATGTTGTAACTTTCTCATTGGCAACGCCCAAACAAGCAGAATATGCGGGGCCGTTGTGGCACCTGCCAGCTGCAAGTACTCTTTGTGGATGGTGAGTTGGATTTGATATACCCCGACAAATCCACCGAGAGGTTGGCACACTCCGATCCAATAGCAGTCTTGGCTTAGGCCAGTTGCCATGTTGCTTTGGATTCTGGAGGAGGTTTGGAGCTTTAAGTTTAGCATAGTTTAGCAACCCTCAGCACTGCACCAGCTTTGCAGATAAACATCCGATGTTGCAAATGACAAAAAGACACGTCGACACTTATTGCGTGCTTCCGCCTCCGCTGCATAAGGAGATTGCACTTTTTGGTGCCAACCTTTCCCGGGGAAGCTTTTGAACGTTCTACTGATGTAACGTTGACATTTTTGGGTGAACATCGTGAACCTGACCTTTGTGATTAACAACTGTCATACCGATCGGTTTGCCAGGGGTGGGTGTGGGTGGAGGGGAGGGTAAGGACATTCAGCTTGATCATCAATCATCAATGTCAGAATATCTGGTTTTGAAGAAATGCGCAGAATATTGGAACACTTGCACAGTGAGAGGTCGGCTTGAACAACAACAAGAAAGTGTTTTGCGGCCGGCTTGAACAACGCATTGTTTTTTTGCGGACATGTTTTTGATGTTTGTGCTCCATGTAAGCTGGAATTGGAAGGCCTTCGTTCGTCGTTTTGAACCCAAAAGGAGGATCATGTTCATACAACAAGCAGCAATGCATAGCAATGCTGATGTGCAAAAGCAGAGGCCCAAACACCTTGCTTTCAACATTGCTTTCCCTTCATGCAGGGCTTCCATTGTCAGACAGTTGCCTTTGAGGAAACATTGTGGTGGAGTGCCAAAAGCGAGATGGCAAGAGTCATGTGGCCTCACAGCTGATTATCGTAGCAGCTTCCCTTGGCTTACTTTGCTTCTTCACGGTGCAGGCCTTGACCGAAAGCTTTGCCACTGCATTGCAGTGCTGGCACTGGCAGGGTGGATCCGAGGATTTGGCAACGGATGCTGATGACGTGAACGGCTGGATCACTCTAGGCTTCGCACTGGGCAACATCCTTTTCGACATGATTTGCTTGCGCAACTTCTACAGGACAGACAGAGAGACAGACAGACAAACAGCCAAGGTTCGTTCACATGAATCTTCAGGGAGAGCATGTAGCGCCAAAAGACAGGGCTGAAGCAATCGCCACCTACCTCCAGGACAAACATTGGACCGATGAAACTAACGTCTCACTTCAGCAAACGGACAGGATTCAAGATTTAGGGCATTTATCACGAAAGCTAGCCTTAGCTAGCTGGAGTTGCTCTTGCTTTAGCAAGTTAAGTGACGGGGTGGACGCACCTCAGAAACCTCAAATAATTGATTAAATCAATCTTATGGACCCCCCCCCCCCCCCGCGGTTCGACTCCCCCCTGCGCGCGGTGAGCGGGACCACCAAGCAGCTGCAGCACACCAAGCATCTGCGCCCAGCGCAGCAGCGGCAGCAGCAGCAGCAGCACCAGCAGCAGCAGCAGCAGACCACCCAGCGGCGGCAGCAGCAGCAGCAGCAGCATACCCATACCCAACGCCGCGGCAGCAGCAGCCGCAGCAGACCACCCAGCGCCAGCAGCAGCAGCAGCAGCAGACGACCCGGCGCCTGCAGAGCACCCAGCGCAGCAGCGCCCAGCGCAGCAGCGGCAGCAGCAGCACCAGCAGCAGCAGCACCAGCAGCAGACCACCGGAAGCCCGGCTAGCTTTCGTTCACCCCCTCTGGCCTCAAGTTCGATAACCATTCCCCATGATTGAGGTCGATGCTGCTTTGGCTTCCACCAAAGCAAATAAACAACCTGGACCCGACCTTATTATAATGGAACTATTCTCTTGGATGAACCCTGACAATTGAAGGGGGTTTCTGAGTCTTCTAAACTCTTGGTGGAGCAATCAGGTGGCTCCAATTGACGCCTTAAAACCGCTCAAGTGGTGCCTATTTACAAGAAAGGTGACACGGATGAACCTTCTATATCAATTACCGGCAAATGTCCTTGCTGAACGCCTGCGCAGCGCTATGTAAAGTTTGTCGCGTTGTACTTTATCAAACGCCTTTTCCCAATCTAAGAAAGTAATGACAAGATTGGAACCCTGTTGCTCAGCAATGTCTTGTATGCGCCTTGTTAAAAGCAGTACGCGTGAAGTGCTTCTAGATTGTCTAAACCCATAATTATTACTGTGGGTTTGAGTACCACCTGCAATCTTTGTCGAATCACAATCATAGCTTGGAGTTCATGAACATTACGTTGACGTCATTCAAGAACTGTTATCACAACCCCTGCTTTTATGTGGAAGAAGCGTTTGGAAGATCGTCGACAAAGCAGCAGCGCTCGGGAAGAAGGCAAAGATGTCCCTTATCGCAACTTATCGCCTTATTAATGTGTTTTTAGTGATGAGCGTCATAGACGGAACCTATCAGTTAGATAGACGGACTCTTGGAGCCGATAGAACCTATTACCCTGACGACACTGTATCACCAACGCATATGCAAACAGAACACTCTGGGCCGTAGAAAGTATTTCAATGCAATTTGGACTTGGCCTAAAAAGGGGGAAGTGCTCATACATTGCAATGAATGGAAACAATGTTGTTAGACTTGCTGATGGGACTTTACTGATCAGGTGCTCTTTTCGACAACTTACCTTGGACGTCATAGAAAATACAGTCTCTCAACAAAAACGGCAGGAAGTCGGCTACAGAATTCAACAGTCTTTGATACAACAGTCTTTGATAGCGTGGTCAAAACTGAAGCCATTCGGTGCCGGCTGCTTCCACCGGCACCGCGGTTTGGAACATCCGTGTCGACCGCGGCCTCAAGCGCTATACCGTTCGACATCCACTAAGTGGCTTTTTTTTGGTCTGGAAACTGTGCACATTCTGCGCAGAGTATACTTAGCAAAATTAACGCGTTCCAACTTCGATTGTTAAGATCTATACTAGGATTAGAAACAACATTTCGTGAACTATGTTCTATGAGTAACTTCCGAACAAGCTGGCCGAGAAGTGAAATTGTTCGGATCGTTTTTTTGATCAAACGAGTTGCCTTGTCGAGCTGCACTCTTAGATCTCCAGATTCGGACCCTTTGCGACAAGTCACATATGTTGCGCATTCGGCAGACGCTTATCCTATAGGAAAAAGAAGGGTCGGGGCCCCTAGACAACAATGGCGCCACTTTACACATCGACATGCTTGGAAATTTGTTTCGGACGGACGAACTGACTATGACAACACGGACCAGCAGAACTTAAATGGCTCTCGCACGAGATTTTTAAGCTGTCGCAGTGCCAGCCCACGGACGCTTGAGCGCCCTTGGCCAGAAAAAAAAACTTCTACAGGACGCACCAGGGAGATATGCCTGCCATAGCAACATCAGATAACATGCTAACTTTCGGTGCTTTGATCGCCCAGGAGTCACAAGCAGACCGGATGTGCCAGGCACGTGAATATGTTCTCCGCTTTTCTGCATGTCAGCGCAGACTTGTTGCGAGCATGCCCCTTGGTCCAAAATGCACATACCAAGCACACTGGGCGCAGTTGCCATAAGAAGTATGAAAGGTCATATGCAAGTAATTGCGAGTATATTTGTTTTACAAAAGTTTGCTTTTGCACTTGCATCATGGCCCAAAGCTGCCAAAACTGCTAGCAACCACGGAATGAAGGCAAGGGTGGTCAATCTTCTACGGACATGTTTGCAAGCTTTGCCGCCAACTGTATGGTATAGGTATTTATTGTATATTTATGGGTAATTTATGGTTTGTTTGTGTTTCAACCGTTTTTCGCTGTCGCACAGTCGCACAGACATGTTTTTCCATGTTTGCCCCTGTCGCCCTTCAGCACTTCGTTTCACACCTCTTGGAATCACGCTCTTTTCATGCCTGCGTTTTTTACACCTGAGGCACTACGCTGGTGATGTCATTGTTGGTTCTGATATCACCAGACTTGAACTCCAGCTGCGCAGATGCTTCTTCCAGCATCTTCATTGGTTTTACCATTCTGGGAGGTGCGTCCGTGGGCTTCTACAAGTGGCTCAAGCTTTTGATCAGATCTTGCTCATCCGACGGGGGCCTGTGCTCCCGACTTTGGTAGATGCTGTGGGAAGCTTTGTATGCGGCAGTTTTGTTTGTTTTAACTATTAAGAGTGACCTTGGTTTAGTTAAGTTTAGCATGGTTGATTAGGGGCAAGAGTCTTGAGATGAAAGGACATTGTACTGCTTTGTTTGTTTCTTTCGAGTCCGGGGCTGCTGTGCCTCCTAAGGAATGTATTTTGGTCGAACTGCCTGAACAATTGAGAGAACCCTTGGCTTAGTTTGGCTTGGATAATTTGGGGCAGTATTTGGGGCTAATGGGCATTTTACTGCTTTGTTTGTTTCGACTCTGGTGGCTGCTGTTTGTATATACCGAGCGCAAGGAATCCATTCTTGGCCCAACTGCGCGCATAAATGACGGAAGCTGGCTGAGATGTTCCGAGCTTTGAGTGTTTATACTGCAGATTTGTAAAGCTTGCATATATATTCATCTCGAAACTGCTGGGGCAAAGTGCATGGACATCGAAGGCGGTGTCTTGAATCTTGAATTCACTAAAGCCACGCAGAGCCTCCGACCAGGGAACAAGGTTTGACCCGCACTTATTGCATCTCAATGAAGCCCGGTGGAGGTCCATGAGCCACTAGCCGCTAGCCTCGTGCTTGAGCAAGAAATGACATCTGGCTTTCCGAGACCTAACATAGCGGGAAAGCAATGCATTACTATACAATGACACTCCCTGAAATAATCATTGAAGTGGATGGCATGGCCCCATGGATGACCATTTTACGAATACCAAACAGGTGGTTTTCCACTTCCATTCTGATTGTTTCAGGGAGTGTGTGTGTGTGTATATATTTAGATATATATATATATATACATTCTTGCTTTTGGGTTCCCCAAACCTCCCAAACTGATCTGACGTGCGGGCGGTACCGAAGTGAAAAAGTCGACCAACAGCTGGGTGGCCCAAAAGCTTCAGCACTTTCCAAAGCTCTTAAACGTCGACCTCCAGCACTTGTGCAAGGATAGTGGTTTGAGAGTAGATGGCACAAGTGGCCCCAAGTTTGGTGCTTGAAATTGGACCCATTTGTCTAAGACATTTTGGGGTTGCCAATCAACTCCCATCAACCACTGCAAACCTTTGGTTGTTGTGTAACGCCTGTCCTTTTTGGGCCATCGACTCAGGGGTACGTGTCACTGGGGCCGTCGTGTCCTCCATGGGTCCTTTCATGCACCTGCTTGAATCTATCTTATCCACCCGATTTTGTGCTTAACCTCAATGACCTCTTTTTGGAACACCAACCACCCAAAATATGCATATTTGTTTCATATCCCAAGAGGGTCAACTGGGTTCCGGGTATATACATATATAAGTGTCGAAACATTGAAAGCCGACTCCTATCGGCACGAAAGGGCGTCTTTTCCTAGGCTTCAGCCGAGAGTCCCTGATATGTCAGCCGAACGATCGATCCACCTGTCCTCTGAGATGGATGGCGTTCACGTGTGATTTTCACACTGACTATAAATCTTTCAAGACTTAAATTTTCGAACGTGCTCTGTTCCGGGAATCATCGGACCTTGCTGCTCTCCATTGGCCAGCTCATGGCACTGCACATATTCACAAAAATCTTTGAGCAAGCCGCCAGCTGTCTTGGTGCGTGACTTGCACCAGCGAACGTATCCGACCTTCTTGGAGTCGGTGCTGGGAATGAGATCATGATACGAAACACTCTGGTTGGCAAATTGGCCAAAACTCACAAGTGTGCGGCCCCATTCGGCCAAGCTTGAAACACCATCAGGAAAATTAGATTCAAAAGCAGCATGGTCAATTTCATAATCAACTGGGAACGGAATGGTGCGGCCTTTTGGCGCAGTCCAAGGTCCTCCCTCATAGCCAGGGATGTCACCTTCCCACAAGATGGTGTAGCCAGCTGGGGCATCATCAGTGGAAGCGGAAGCGTCTGCTGCCTTGCTGGTAGGTTTGCCCTTGAAAATGCGCTTGACATTCTTGGAGCCAGCCTCTGTGGCTTCACGACGCTTGGCGGCATCCGTCATGGCACCTGCACTCTGGACCACGCTGAAATCGCTCTCTGACCCTGGTGGGCTTCCGCTGGGACGACCGGCGGACAAGGTGTCCTGGAGTGTTTCCATAGCCACACCTTCAGCCTGAGCCTTCTGCAAGAGGCTCATAAGCTGTTGCTGCTCCTCCAAAGACATGGGCATGGTCAGAAACAGCAAATGAAAGTACGAAAAGATGAACAAGCACAAACCAGTCTTGAGCACACAAAACCTCTGCACATATCAAATTCTATTTCGTGAAACTGGCTTCGGCTTCAGTGATATTGACAGACACTCACAAAGATGCAAGACATCACATAACACATCGAATCTCCCAAAGTGATTCTATATTATGTATCTTATCTTGACTACCCCGATTATCACACTGAGCTTTAACCATTGAGACTCATGTTCGGCACTGTGGGTTCGTGTCGATTTTGCCGACGGCGGTCTCGTTCTGCTGCTTGCTGGGCAAGGACAAAGCTTTCGGGCGAGATCTGGTATGTTGACGACCGGATACAGGAACGCAGCAAATCGATGGGGTCTTGTTGATCTTTAGTTAGTCCGTCAGCTAGCATGCGATTGGTGGGAAGCCATCGTATGATGCCCTGAGTCAAACGAAGAGATTCTCTGATAATCACTATATCAATGCTAGTACGACGGTCATCTACAGCCGTTGGTGCTGAAGGGGACACTAGGTGATCATAAAGAGATTTGCAGTCCGTGGCCAATATGGGAGGTCGTCTGGCCAACATATCTCGTCCGTCACGTGGCGCGAAGGCTCCATCAAGGGCTTCGCACAACAGCAAGCTCACCCATTCCACTGAATCACTGGCACTAGCCATAGCTTGGCTTTCGGCGCCAAGTGTTGAACTCACAGCTCGAGACAGACGGTAACTCTTCCACAAAAAAGGGGTCCAAGGAGCAACAGCTGATTCATTCAGGCTTTTGTCAGTGAATCCCAAAATGTAACCAGCTTGGGTGTGGTCCCCTCGGTTTGCCCATGCTGCGTCCGAATGTCCGCAAATGCGTAAGTTCTCCGGCGGAATGCATTGAAAAGTGATTTCCAGATCCTTGTGCTGACGAGCTCGTCTAATGGCGTTGTTGGCATCTCTGAGATTACGGATGGTGGGTCTTGGAAAGGACTGTTGGGAGATGCTAGTCTGTACCGCCAGGTCAGGGCGGCTTTGCGAGGCTAACCAGTTTAGTCCTCCATTGATCGCTCGCAGCACTTTGATTTGTCCTTCGTGCAGCAACGTGTCGTTGGACGCACCTTTTGGAATCGTGGCTGGTCGGAGGGACTCAGCAAACAGCTTTTGTGACAACTTGATAGACTTGGTCTTGGGGTTTTGAGTATAGTAAGTGCCACAAAACTCGCCTTCACCTACACGCCATTTCCGATAGGGAAAACGATCTTTCAGCTGTTTGACACTTTCCTCGAACAACCGTCCTGAACCTCCTACTGCCGTGTCATCTACATGTACCCCCATGACCCCACTCAGTTGGTTTTCCGCGTTTCGTAGGAAGTACAAACAAGGGTCGAAGATGGATTGTTTCCAACCTGCGGCACATGCTTCCTGATGGAAGGTTCTGAACCAGCTTGACGGTGCATCGTTCTGTCCATAAACATTACCTACAACTTCAATCACTGCATCCGGTGGAACTCCTGGGATTCCTCCAGCAGGCTGAGTGGCATATAATGGCCTGAACTTACTATCTAAGGGGCCTGCCTCCATGAATGCACCTTTGATGTCGCCCAATTGCAAATCCCACTGATGAGAACAGATCAGTTGCATCAACAAGGTCCGAGAGATCTGACTCAGTGTGGGGGATTTCAGGAGACCTTCTTGTGCTTTAGCATCGAGATCAGCACCATCTACTTGATGCGAAAAGTACTGGGGTCGGACGGGTCTATCGACTGATTCTCTTCCAGTGGTTTTCGGACGATGACAAACCGGCTACCTATGAAACGATCTGGAAAGTCCTCTTTCAGTCGAGCGGCTTTCTTACCATAGTGTATGTAAACAGCTCGTTTATCCAGGATCGTGTTCCACTCTGCCAACTTGGATTCATCGACCAGTTTCTGTAACTGAGAGTCCGCGTTGGTGTGCGGAATTTCCTTGCTGAGTTTCTTCTGTATGTAGGCTGCAACCAAGACTTCAATGGGTTGTTCTTCGGTCCAACACGCAAAAATCTCATGCTCCTCATCAGCTAGAAGGATCTCATCATCGTTTCCCTCAGTTGTACGAGGTCGAGAGAGAGGTGGTTCATCAACGGGTCCTTCCATGAGATCAACTGACCTTTTCAGATTCTCGGTGTTCCTCACCTCAGTCTCTTGGTTCAGTGTGTCGACCAACATTCGTGGAACCATCTCTCTCATCATTTCCACAAAATCATCCTCACGCATAGCGGGAGGTCTGTAGAGCGCCGCTTGACCTGCTTTCTGTGTCACGCGTCGTCGGACTGGTCCGTACGACGATGGTTCGGTCTTGGCTTCAGCAGGACCGGCACTGGAGCTTGACCCACCCACGGAAAAATGTGGAAACTCATCCTGATTCTGGTCGGAAGGTGCTGTGTTTGCTTGTGTCACATGCTCATTGGTGGTGGTTGTCTCGGTTGTACTGGGTGGGACAACCTCCATTGGAGTGTCCAATGTCGGACTGGGTTCCTCGGCATCTGGAGCCGGTGGAACGCTTACGGTCGCTGGAACAGTTGCTGGAGACTCGGGCTGCACTGATGGATAGTGGC